GAATTAAAATATACTTAACAAAGGGTCCGGTTATTCACTAAAATGAAACGAAAATGCAAGACGGAAAAAAAATCCTTACCGTCTTCAAACATTATTCTGCCGTTGAGAGGAGACGATTCTATATCCAGAAATGAACTTGCAGTCGCATGGACTGGGATTGTGGCTGAAAACAAATATGATAAATATAAATAAAATACTTTGAGCCAAACTAAGAAGTCTGATCACGAAGAACAAGAAACYAGCGAATGAGAAAAAGGCCAACATAATAGTACGGGACAACRAGCATCAAAATTTCAATTTTCTTCTTTGTTTCTTTMCTTCACTACGTTCTTCCCTCCCTTCCTCCCTCTTCCCTTCCGTCCTTCCTCCTTCCATTCATTCATTTACTAGTAGCAGGAAGATAAAGAGATAATAATCTCCTTCACGGTTATCTGCGCCACCTTGAAAGGTAGCCGTGCCTTTGCATCGAAGCGAGACGGCCGTTGAGCGTGCAATGATAGATACCTGTGAATAATTGTCTGTAGGTGCGAAAGAAGGTTTCTATTATTGCACGCTCAACGGTCGTCTCTCTTCGATGCAAAGTCACGGCTACCTTTCAATATAGCGCAGTGAACCGTGAAGAAAGACTATTCTCAGCTTAATTATCAGSAAATTGAAGAGAAGATATTTAAGAGAAAACTGTACCTTTTTCCCCTAGACCATCCTGTTTGAAGCATGTGCCTCCACTGTAACACGACGCAGAACTGAAACACTGCGCCTCTGTATACTGGTTTTTGAATGGTATTTTAATGGCTGGGCTGCATGATACTTCAGCTACAAAAATGAACAAATCAGTAACTCTAGCTGAATACACGAAAAAAAAAAAAAACACGAAAGTGGAGTACGGTAATCAGGATGGACAAAAAACCGTGTGCGTTTCCGTGTCAGCTGAACTGAATGAAGCTTACTCACCTTGTTGTATTTCTGTACAAGCAAACTTGTTTTCGAGTTCATCAACACTAAGCTCTCTTTTCCATAGAATTATATTATAAATGACGAAACTCCCTCCGTTAAGTTTCCCTACTTTAAGGTAAGAATCASTGGGYCCGCTTRCAGTTKCAGAGGTTTTCGTCATTTYTTGCAAGTAACGATTTATTGTAAGTCGACCAGCATTTTTCTTCTTGCTCCAAGCTACAGTGATATGATAATGCTTATCTTTGATTATTGGTACCRATTTTATATGCTGTGTTGAGCGTGTACGTATAGTAACTTTTATGCTATTTTTTGAATGARTATAAACGACTWTAAATTTAGCGCAGTGGGCTGTGTCCGAGTATATAATTTTGTGATACTCTGATGACGTTGTTGTAGGAATCTTGACCCAGAAGGAAATGGTAAAATCACCAACATCAGGATCGTTAATGGAYTCTCCTTTGAAATCACCTAAGATCATATATGGCTCTCTACCACTGCCTCTTATATCTACCAATGGACCCCTAGTAAACAATCTGAATGCTAMCATTACGGGAGTGAAGTCAGCTTTTGTTAGATTCGTGAGGAAGCTTTTATCGCCATTGTAGTCGAGTATTCGTCCGCCTGTCACCCTGTCCAGCGGCCAGTAGTTGGCAGCATCAGTGAAACAACGATCTGAAAATAAAACATGAAATCAAATCGGACACGAGATATGAAAATTTCATCATTTATCAACAAATATCTCACCTTCTCGATTGCATAGTGTTATTTCACTTGTTGTCGTTGCTYYAARAACGATGTACGTGACGTCTAGCGKAGAGGAGTCCGTCCATTGCAAGATAATCTCATTCCCAGACCCAAGGATGATGTTGGAACATCGAAAATCAATCCATATTGGCCTAAGCTCTGTGGTCGATAAAAAACCAGTGCACGACACGGATTTTTTTTCGTCCTTGTTTCCAGCACCGTCGCTTTTACTTAAGGTGCATTTGTCTGTTCCAAGTGAGAATATGTACYGTTTATTGGTGTATTCTTCCACGAGATAAATGGTCAGACCACCACTTTTTACAACCAACGATGCGGTACGACCGAAAACCTTCTCCCACCTTGACTCTACATTGGCGTGAAGGTTAATTTGATCACAGATCTTGCCTAGAGATGGATGAAAGGATGAGATTATAAAATTATTTTTGTCGCATCTTCAGATGGTGCATTTGATACTCAATATTCGAAATCAATTATACGCAATAAAAAGCGACGCCATTTTGTGTATTAGAAAACAGGATGGAATTGTACTCGTGTTGTACTTTTTCATGTTCGGTAAAACAGGCCCGTTCTTGCTTTTGCTTTGCAAAAATAGATAGCTGTTCAGTTTCTACAAAGAAAATTAAAAAAAACCGGATTTCAGAGAGATTTTGTAGAAGGTATGAAAGATGCGAGGACTACCACACCCAGCATGCTTTGCTGTACAAAATGGCGTCGCTGCACATTGCCTATACTTAAAAGTATTTCAGGAATATCTGAAGACTATCACTGGAGAGCATCCTATAAGATTAGTACACACAGTGTACTAATGCAAGATGCTAAGTTTGAGAAACATACAAAGATTAAAAATGAGCAAATTCGACAAAGAAATTTATGTGAGGGTAAACCGCTGACACACTTCTTGCAGAGAATCCGCAAGTGAAGATGTTAATTGATGGAAGAGATGATTAAACTGTTACCTTTTAAGGCGTCTCGTTTATACAATTCTATTTCTCTGAAGNTGTCACATAAAATTTGTCCAATTTTGCTCATCTACCGCGGGCAATTAAAAATTGTCACATAAAAATTGCTCGTCTAGACGGGGCTTAATTCACAGGTCTGAAGTTCAAGACTCAGAGGAGCTGACATTTCATTAGATTTCTTTCTTTACCAAAAAATAAATAAATTCAATCAAATATAGAACAGGGAACCCGGTAACGGTAACTTAATGAAAAAATTAATAAAGAACAATGAGAATAAATAAATAGTTTTGAACACAAGTAACGCAGGCTCAAGTTTACAGGAAAGTGAGTGAGTGAGTGAGTGAGTGAGTGAGTGAGTGACAGATTCGTCCCCCTCCAATAACTCTTCGATTGCTTCGCAATCTTCGAGTTAAAAATGAGCAAATTCGACAAAGAAATTTATGTGAGGGTAAACCGCTGACACACTTCTTGCAGAGAATCCGCAAGTGAAGATGTTAATTGATGGAAGAGATGATTAAACTGTTACCTTTTAAGGCGTCTCGTTTATACAATTCTATTTCTCTGAAGCCATTATTAATAGCGGAGTAAACGCTAAGTACTTTAATGTTCACCCATTTTGCTTTGACTTCGGCGAAGTGTAGAACCTCCCAAATTGAGTCTGCTGAAGATGAAGTCCCGGTGTTTCTTTTCAAAGTGASCTGGAAATGATGAAAATGAGTTAAGGATTGCGCAGTGCTATTTACATAAAAATTTAAGTCACCACATTAAATAAAATAATTACATCAATAAAATTTTGGAAAGGGAGATAGAGAATTCGCCCTACATCTGTGAAACAAAGTGGTTACAGTAGACTGCAACCCCATAATAAAGACTCGCTTTTGTCAACCGATTAGACTTACATAACAATTGTTCTATTCTGACTCGCCTCTTAGTATAGGAAATCGCACAACCTTTAGCAGAATTTGGAATTAATAGTCACTCGAAATGTTTTGAAAGTTCTTAAATTGTACTCGCCCTATACGAGCTATACGAGAGGCTGTATGATTTTTTGTTTATTCGTACATTCAGTGAAACYAAATTCAGTGAAACAAAAAAATTTATAAGGAGTATAAGTAATGCTGTAATTATACTCMTATCGATCATTGAAAAAGTGTTATTTTGTTCAATATACTATAAACTATAAAATAGGAAACCCCCAAAGTTATGGCCCTTGAAGGAGGGTGGGTACATATGTTGTTAAAAAAAAATCTAGAGAGGCTCAAATAGTGCTTACCTTTCTTGATTCTCCACCAGAAAAATCAAGCTGAATCTCCTTGTTCTGCTCTTGAGTGTTTCCTCTCTGCTTTAGTCTAATGGTGTCGATTGGAAACGTTTTTATAAACGTAATTTTAATRTAATGACCGACGCCACCTGCATTTGCCCATTCTCCGTCAKTAACACCGGMCTTGCCATCGATCGCATAWGAGCACGTACCACCGATAGAAGTGCAGGTCGCTCCAGCAGCTGACGCGGCTACGTTGATGAACGTAGAACTTAAAAACTCTACAAAATGAAAACAATTTCGCTAATTTCATTATTATAAAATGTACACCACAAAAAGTGAGTTGTAAATCCAGAATTACTTTTGTACAGAACATTTACAGGATATATAAACACTACACTAGGCCGAGATATATCAACATGATCATAAAAAAGTGTATTATGGAAATGGAGTTCTTTTTTGTAATATTACAGTCAATTCATTTTTCGATTCTTGGTCGATTCAAAATTACATTATTGAAATCGAATTGAATCCAAACGTCCAAAATTTGATTAGATTGTTGATCGGATTTTCATGGAGCTTTCTTCGTATTTCGTTGGCARACATGCTGGGCTTTTGTAATTTTCACATCTCGATGCATAGCAATATGTTGTTTGTTACACTGGTTGGGTGCCGAAAGGAATGACGGTCCCAAAAAGCTACATGCAAATGCCGTGTTATTTTCTTAACGGAGCTCGTTGATAATTGTAAACCACAGTGCTATTTCGTTTTTAGAGTAACCCTGATTAGCCCTGATTATATTGAACTAATATTCACTTTCTAAGGGCAATCAGCACTGGTGTTTTAATGTAGTCCATTATCCAATCAAAGGTCGAGATTTGAATTTAATTTTGCATAAATCAATTGAAGTTTGAAAACGAAAAACAAAACGAAAACTCCAATAATGAATTGAATAATGAAGCCTTCGGGGGGCGCACTTCAGTGACTTTTGGCTGGAATAGTCATATTCTAAGCTATTATTTCCATGACTTTTACAAGTTCGAGAACTTTCATTGACGTCACATTTCTAAATATAAATTCGCCATTTWAATTTTTTAACACCAGAACTTCAGGTTCTTCGACCATATTTTCCTTATAACTACTGCGTAAAAACGAGACTGCTGAAAAGGTTCTTAATTATGTTGTTAGCGTTTATCTAGTGGAACTTGGGTAAAATTGCTTTTGCAGAAAAACTACACAAAAGAAAGCTTCTTTACCAATGATCAATGTTTAAGTTTCGAGATCTAGAAAGTTCGTCCGCAAGGGTGTCATTAACCTTTGGAAATTTCGCAAAAGCAAAGGTTGAGATATATAGATTGTTCAGGAATAAATTAGGACTAAAAGATTTATAGAAATGTATCACGAAAAAAAGGGAAAAAATTACTCACAAGAATTCTTTCTCATTAAGTTGAATCTTAAATGAAATCCCCCCAATTCTTCCCTCTCTCACTGAGAAGTACAGTCAGAAGTACAGAAGTAGTTCCCTTATASACATTTTTAAACAAATCTATTAGTTAATTAACCAATTGTACTTTCTATGTAACTAATTTAAAGCAATTCGGCTTGTTGAATTTAGTCAATAACTTGTTTATATGTTTCAATGTATTATTGCCCGATTATTAAGAACATTGCAGCTGCCAAGGAGTACAAGCTACTYTCAACGATTAAGACTAAACGATTCTGCTTATAATTTAGCTTAAATCTTCCCAGAAGTGTGAATTCAGTAAAGATTATAACAAACTGAAACTAGAAAGAAAACGCGACAAACTTTACGTCTTCATCATTTTATCCTCACTACTAAATATTGAATGAACATTCTTTTACGAGCTACGAATATGTCGAATTATGAATAAAAAGAAATAATTAAATTAGATAGCAATCAARTAGTGCAAGGCATTTACTGCCAAAGAGAATTTCCGTACAAAGAGTCATACTTCCTGACTCCATTTCAGCAGTAATTTACTTGTTGGGTAAACTAAAATTTATAAATATATGGCGACTGAAACGTTTTGGCGCACGACGTGCTTATTTCTCGACAAAATGATTTTATTTACTGTAGAACATCTTTCTTTGAATTATGAATAAATTTCACTAGGAAAAGATGTGCTCGTAGTAGCAAAAAAWTGAAGTGAAGTAAAAATGCAAAAGTCAGATTTTTGTTAACCTAATTATCAATAAAATTCTTACCAGGTACACCGCAAGAGGTTCCACTACATGTAGATGCATCGGCATAAAGATGACTTCTTTCGAAGGCAATTTGTAAAACCTAAGAAAATCAAGTTTTCAAAGCTTTAAAAATGAGATTTTTTAGTGCATGACACTTGACATGAATTCAAAGAACTCACCAAAAACAATGAGATTAACGCTGAAAACATATCTCTGRTCCTRACGAGAACTTGAAAATAGTAAGTCTACAGAGTTTATCCCTTTTATGTCAATCTTACTCCAGGCGGCATTTTCGATGCCATGAGAGAAAAGTTTGTTTAAGTATTTCGCTACTTGTCGAGGAGTACTTCGATATAATGGGTCCTAGCGACTAAAACGTCAGGAAAGAAGGCAGGTGCAGACGAAAGGTTGGTCTAGGGGAGTAGAGGTAGGGTAAAATTCTGCTGGTTCAGGACCATGGGAGCCCTGCACGAATCAAAAGTAACTATATCAACGGCTCAGATTCCAAAGGTCTCCAGCAGATATTTTGATTTGATGAAAAAGCCGTATTCAAATAACGACATAACAGAGTAGAGCTGGTATAAAAAGCTAAAGTCTCCCAGAAATAGTCAATATTTCAACCAGCATGCTGTCGATTTATATTYACTTGTATTAACACCATCTGACGTTGTCATTAAGTCGCACAAACCGACTATATGCAGGATTTCAATATTTGTACATAATTGTTTAGTCAGAGTTGTGACGTTATGAGATAGTGAGCAAACAGAAAAGCAAATTCCAGCAACGAAAACCGAGACACAAAATTAAGCTGAGGAAGSCATGCAACAAAATAACCATCCTAAGAAAACCAGGAGTTGCTAAAAAAATTGACATAAATTTCCACAATTGTGCTTTCAAAGGCAGTTTATATATATAGAGGATATTACATGGGCGCGCGGAGATACGGATTTTATCTTCGAGTGTTGAAAAGATCTCTCACGCGAGTGATCCCCAAGCGAACATGTAATATTCTATTTATCATATAAGTTTATATGAAAACAAAATATGTCGTAAAATACCTTTTTTTCTTACTTGCATTATTTAGCGAAACCTCGGATGTGTTATTTTCACTAGTGAAAATATCAATTTTWCGAAATGGAGAAATATAGGTATTTCATAGATAATTATATGATAAATATAGATATGTAATGGCATTGAGGTCGTGAAGAGTGTTCAATATGAGACAAGGACCCATGTCACTAGAATCTTTCTAGCAGACGAAACTGAGGACTAGTTTCAACAATATTGCGCAAATAATGACAAGCGCTTACAGTATTCCTACAATTGTGCTGTATTCACTGATCTGACATACATGTACTTCAAACTCAGAGCCCATRCATCCGATTAAAGATTTTCAAAGATGCCATTAAAGATTTTCAAGCATTTTACGCTAATTTTTTTAATTAAAATAAACCATTCCAATTGCTCAGGCATGTTAAGGCCTGGGTATTCAATATGGCGGCCATAAAGTAAGAAGGGGTGGTCTATCTCGTTTATGTTTTAGGTTATTAAAATCAAAACTTGGTACATCAAAAACAATGACAATGTCAGCACTTTGATATGGTAGTTGTCATGGTGACAATCTTTGTGACCTTTTAACCGCAATATAAAGAAATTTCAGATAATGCTCTTGGAAGAGTAGTAGAACGTTTTGTTTATGAACATTTTCTTTTCGAAAAAGAATGATCATAGCGCACTTCATCTGAGTCCAACTTGATTAGTTGGAATTTAGCAATTATTAAGATATTATTTAAGAGTATCAAATTACACAAGTGCCTTAATCGAGGTTATCGTTTATTTTTCCAAACTATCAAGTTGGATCCATTAAGACTTTAGTAAACCTCAGTTCATTCCGTTAAAACATCTGCAAAATAAATTAATTCTACCACTCTCCAGAAGGCCTTTCCAAAAAATATTAAAATCTGGGTTCAAAGGTCAGATAAGTCATCTCCATGTAAACTATCAACGTAAAATATGAACATTGCATGCCACATTTATATGCTAAACTTTCAACTTCACATCTATAACCAACGATAAGTTAGACCACCCCCTCTTTTTTTAAGGCCTATATTTGACCACCCCCTCCAGACCCAGGCCTTAATATACCTGAGTGTACAAAATTTCTAAAGATGTTTTTAATCAAACCTGACTTCAATTACGTAACGCGAGCGTTTAAAAAACACAGCACTTTTAGCGCTTTTCCTTTTTTGTAGTCAAATGCAAAAGTTTGTGAAAGTTTGCCAACCGCAATGAGAGATTTCCGATTAAAAGCACAAAAAATAAATTTGTTTACGCAATGTTATGTCATAACCCCCATTGTGGATGAAAAAAAAAACTGCATTACTCATTGGCTAATCTCATGGCAAAACATGGCAAAGACGCTTTTCTTTCTTTCTTTCTTTCTCCCTTTCTTTCTTTCTTTCTTTTTGTTTTGTTCAATTTTTGATTCTTCTACTGACTTGTTTGCTTGCACATGACAAACACACAACATATACGRTTATTTAATCCGAACATAGTGAAACTGAGCATAGTGAAATTGAGCTAAACACAAAACATTTATTTTGGCACCAATATTTACACATATATGTATGTATAGCAATGAATAGAACAACCAAACACGGTAARGTTGTTCAGCAGAACAAGTCCAGGTTGTTCAAAGCCTTTTGTCAATTTATAAAACTTTTTTAAGAGTTAGCCCAGGAGAAAAGCTAAACGAGCTTGCAACAACGAAGCCATCCTTACTAATTGGACTTCATCTAGACTAGCACAGACTAACATTGTACATTAATTCCACTTTTGACTGAACATAAGCTAAAAAAAGCTGATCTGTACATTCATTTATAGTTCATGGGCTTCCTGTTTAACATGTCACATGCCAGAGGACTAGTAACTAGACATCTAGTATTGACAATGCAGCGCAGTAACAAGCTTTACATGAAGTATTTTTGGAGTATCTAGAAGCAGCCATGTTGACCTATCATAGTAGCAAAAACTGTGTAAACTTATAGACAAGGATATAATCAAGTCCACACTATCTTTCATCTTGTACAAGTAGCCCAGCTATTATCCAATCAAATCTGATCTTGACTTTGGGCACTGTCGGCATTACAGAAAATATCATTGGTTGGCTGACTGATTGAAAAAAGGGAGGAAGGAATGGAGGGGGAAGATGGAAGGATGGTAGGAAGGAGTGAGGGAGGGTGAGAGAAAGAACGAGGGAAGGAGGGAGGAATATAGGGTGGCAGGAAGGATGGGGAGAGAAAGAAAGAAAAAGGAAGAAAGGAAGGAGGGAGAGGAAATAAGAAAGGATGGAAGGGAAGGGAAGGGGAGAGAAAGGAGGGAAGGAGGCTGGGATATGAGAAAGAAGGGAGGGAGGAAAGGAACAGGGAGGAAAGGACTGAATGACTCACCTTGTTAGCATAATGACCTTTATCTCCACACTAAAAAGAGAAAAAATAATTTTAATAAAACTCTGACAAGTTGCCCACGTAGAAGAATGTGCTGCGGTCTAACCTTGAAGCATGTCACAGTTTCTAATGGCCGTCTACCGAAGATCTGTTGATCGCCCATCGATGAAGGCACATTTGCATTATTGGGCTGCAAAAATAAAAAAACATTAAACTCAAAATAATTCATTGTATTGGGAAATATATCCAAACTTTATTACTAAATCAGTTTGAATGACTGTGTTTCARAACTAAAGGAAATTGTGTGTTTATTATGTAAATGTAATGAGACAAGAGAGAAAATGATAATAAAATCACTATGTTCTATGGCAAACAGAGTCATTTGATACTATAGTACTGTACCTTGAAGTTTTCTTTTTGAGGATTTTGTGGGCATGACGATGCCTTGTGTCCAGGTTGACCACAACTATGACAYGTGATATTTAACTTTTTCTCTACATTCTCGTCCTTGACAATTGGGAGTTCAAACCTTGGGCTACAAGTTACCAATAGAGACATTAATAAAAACTTTTCATAAAAACATTGCATGAAAAGTGTAACTATAAAAATGTTGATAAGAGATGTTTTTTCACTTACTGTTTATGCTTACAATTTGGACCTTCCGGACAAAATCCACATAAATAATTAATACATATAACCCTACGGACATGACGATGACGGCAGTGTGGACCTATGGAAGAGTATAGTTTAGTATGAGGATTATATGATCAACACTCTGACTTAATAGACATTAAGCTTTCTGAATATTACTGTCATACCATTTTAACCCACCATGAGAGGTACCACAGGTAACCCACATTATAACACAGGGTTCCCACAACACTTACCATGTTTACAGAATCCCCTGTCATACCAAGGACAGTCTTTTATCTTGGACTGGGGATCAATATGTAAGTACTGACATTCCTTGTTACTGCACTCTCCTAATAAACAGATGAGAAAAATTATATGATGTTGAGACCATTCTGATAAAACTTTCTAGTAGATGATGATGCTATCATCAGCATCATTGCCATCATAACACCACTTCTATGACAAGCTTCCTCAAAGCTTCATTGTCCAAATGAATCATGAAAAAGTATTTTTCCCAAACAAAATACTGCCATTACACTTAAACTGGAAGAAATTGAAACCAAAACTGATACAGTGATAAACAGCAACATTTCAATCAATCAATTATTTTTCCATATATTTTCGTCACTGACATATATTAAACAATCCATAATACCTGTTTTCTTATGTCATTGTCTATTACATCTACCATCATATTTATCATTATCATCATCATTACAAAACTAGTTCCATTCCTAAACATCACCATCTTGCATAAAAACCACAGGTAGCCCAAACCTTCAAATATTATGTATCACTTTACTTACCAAATTTGGAATAAAAATAACACTCAGGCATCTTGGTCATGTCATATTGATGTAAAAACTCACATTGGTCCCCTTTCTTACATAAACCTCTCAGCCAATGTTTACAAACGACTGTCTTTTCACCAGACGTGTGTCTAAATGGACAGTAGGCACCTCGGGTACAGGTATTGTTCACAAAGAACTCACATACTGCTGCACTGGACTCTGTTAATAAAACCAGATTTTAAAATTAAGCTCCATTCAAACTTATAAAAGCTAATAATCTGACAGAATATTAAATTTAATAATAATAATAAAATTGACAAGTGATAATTCAACAGGCTTTTTCTCTCTTTACTTACATTCAACATTATTACATTAGGCAAGTTATAAAACTACAAGATCTTGTACTTACTGTCCATGCCTGGGAACGGTAGAGGTTGGCATCCTACCTGATGCTTGAGTTGATATTCAATGTCTAAAATTATGTCCGAAACGCCCGCTACGATATCCTGCATTTTACTCGGCGTTTGAATATCAAGTGTCTCTAAACTTCAATGTACAAAATAGCACAGATTTAGCTAAAAACGTACAAAAAACTTGTTTTTCTWGACATATCTATCTTCGCATGTTGGTGAACACATTTGTTGAATAAGTCAAATAGCAACCAGGCCTTGAGTTTATACAGGAACTCCAACACACCGGATTTTATAACACGTCTCAAATATGAATACACATATAAAAGATACACAATGAAGTTATCTTTTTGACTAAAATTATACATATTTTCAATTTTTGACGGCTAAGACACTCATAAATTAAGCAATAATTCGATATTAAAAATTATGTTTAACTGGGCTTCCTATGTTAAAAGCCGCTGTAAATGATTTCGTAGGCTCAGKCTTCGGCGTGTTCAAAAATTTATAGGACAACAAATGTTCATATTCTAAATTTAAATTTTATCTTTATACTGGCAAAAAAAATGTCCAAACGAGGTATTAATACTCTCTTAATAGGCTGAATACTTGTATTGTTTGTTTATAGAGGTAATTTATGCGAGATGTTTGGTATTTTTGTTAGGAGGAAGAGGAAAAGTTTCACATAAAGGAAGAAGGAGGCATTTTACTGACGAAGAAGATTTAAAGCACGATTTAGAAAAAGCGAAAAGAGAGCAAGAATGGCGGGTAAGTAGAGTTCTAAGAATATTTGATTCTGTAATTCGTCTAAGCAGTAAACGTTTTCATTATGTTAGTATTTTCTGTGCTGAGAAATTTAGCTTACGTCGACTCGATTGACAGAAAATATTGGGTGATGCAATAATACTAGAGATTTGTTATTATTATGGAAGTCTTAAGCTTGTTTTCGTTACCAGTAAAAAAATGTGGTCATAGTTGTTTGTGTAATGAAATTGTTTAGTAACTGAAATTTTACACCACAAAGAATGAGCATTTCATCCTTTGAAAGCTTAAACACTGTTAATAACATTGCTTACGTACATTAAGTCTACAGTATTAGCTTACATGTCAAATTTGTTTACAAGCGTATAATYAATTTCAGTTTATCTTGATAAAAACTTCGATTTTTTGGAACATGAAACACTTCAACCTGCCATAGTAATAAGAAACTGTTCAGAAAACAATAGCAATACCAACCATCATCATCGTCATCAATGTGTAATTGGCTCATATTTTATTTTATTTTGACATTGTGATGCCTTCCCATATACTTTCAGCAAGCAAGAGAAATTGGTTCTGACGATGAAGGTAGTGGAAGTGATGATAGTTCTTCTGATGAAGAGGTAAAAACAAGAGCCTTATACACAATGAATTTAAAAGAAACATTGAGCAATTAATGATAAAGACTGGAATTCATACATTGTTGTTATTGGATTCCTTGCACTGTAAGTGGTAGATTGATTTCCATCAAAGATACTAAGCTGCCATAAGCCTCGTTTAGAGTGTCAATACAACAACCATAAATGCGTTTCAGTCATTGAATACAGCATCTCATGTGCTCAAAGTTGACAGCTGTATGCACTGGTGTAAAATCAATTTGAGTAGAAAATGTGTTGATTTCCAGGGAGCTTCGCAGAAACGCAAGGGAGTTAGCGGATTGATCGAAATAGAAAATCCTAATAGAGTACAGCACAAATCAAAAAAAGCTGACAATATTGAAGTTGAGTCAGCACCAACACAATTATCTCGTCGAGAAAGGTAACTTGTTGTTTGATTGATTGTTGATTGATGTATTATTTAGTCTTGTGTTTGTGATGATGGATGATGTTGTAAAGACGGACAGACGACTTATGTGATGGAGTGAATCAGTAAATCAGTGCAAAGAGTAACATACTACAGTACATTGTATTTGAGTACTAAAGGTCAACAACAGAGCAACTCCATGATTTAAATTGACTTTATGGGCTTTACTTTATATCTCATGTCAATCATGAAATTAACTCTTGCAAAACAAAACACTTGCGTCTCACTATCAGCTGAAAAAATAATAATATTTTATCAATGAATGAAAATTGTGCTGGCTTTTATACTTAATACAGAGAGGAACTGGCAAAACAACAAGAAAAACGTCGATATCAAAAGCTTCATGCAGAGGGCAAGACGGAACAGGGGAAAGCTGACTTAGCTCGTCTTGCGATCATAAGAAGACAACGAGAAGAAGCAGCAAGGAAAAGAGAGGAAGAAAAGAAAGGTAGTATGTGTTCACAATCAGAAAATCCAAKTATAGTATGTAATTTTTCCATGTAATTTTCCATTTTCCATGTGTCCATGGTCAGTAAATCCAAATAAATTTTTGCTTGCTATATTTATGAGCCTGTCAGTTGAAAGCTTTTTACTTCATGACAATAACAAGACAAACTTTCATGATAATTAATTTTTCATCACCACCATTAGACTTTATATCAGGACCTCCTCATTCCTTACGTATCTCTTTACCAAGTGAATTTATTATGGAAGGATTTATGAAAACATTGGAAAAGAAATTTGCCTTTGTATTTTTCTCTGTACCACCTTATACCTCCCACTACTACTGGCATTTTCAATCCATCCCCACAGACAATTGATGGACTTAGGACCATATAAAATCTTAACCCTCAGGGAAAACTTAAGTGCCAACGTCCTTATTAACCCCCGATAATGACCCAAACTTGCATACATGTATTTTGGTCTTCACTCATTTGGTTTATATTAGATGTTATCTTTGAAAATAAACTCAGGTGAATGCTTGTTTGAATAATAAAGTATATTTTTTGCAGCTAAAGAACAAGCAAAGGCCAAGAAATAACAAGGCAACCTAGTGTCAGATTATGAAACAGAAATTTGTATAGTAAAATCTGCCATGGCAATTTGAATCATTTCTTTGTAAAACAATATCCCAATTCTATCACTAGCCATGTAACTTTCACGAGATATAATAAAAAAACATTCTAACTGAAAATATTACTGAAAATATTATGGATTGTACTTCATGGTGGGGTCAGACAAAGGACTTTGAAATAGTAATTAACTAAAGCTAACTAAATACACCCTATTGATCATTTTCAACCATTCCCATGAGATTCAAAAGATCAAAGACCAGCAGCCATGTTGGAGGAATGAACAATAGATACTAATGAGAAATATTTTGTTGAAGTTCCTCCAAGATGGGTGCTGTGATGTAACTTGGAAACGAAGAATGCCCATAAAATAATGAAATCAGAGTGATGAATTAAGGTGCATGAATGTGATACCTATTGTAAGCCTATTAGGTAACAAAAGAAAATGTAGAAACTCCATTCTTTTTCTCTGTTCTTTATTAGCTAGTGAAAATAACTTGTACAAGGCAAATAGCCATTTGACTTTCAGCTAAAATGATATTCATCATGTACAATGTACATTACATAGTTAAAGTTTAAGGTCTTTATTGCATTCAAGAACCTTTGTAGATTTTCTCTTAAGCTACAGTAATACGAGCAACAAATTCATCCAACTTGTCTCGCAACAGTGATGCAAAACAATTTGGAAAGCGATGTTTCTTGTTTTACTATGCGCGTACCATCTTGTCTCGCAACAAAATTGCTTGTTGCAAGTTGAAAAAAATTCTTGCTGAAAGTAGAAGATGGTTCTACTTTTTGCAACAAACCTCAAAGATGTTGCCCCTTTTACTACAACAACCCAACTTGTTTCGCAGCAAAGTAACGTCGCGCGACAATCACCTGACTACATTGGCCAATCAGAAATAAGGATTTTCTGACCTGCGACAAATTATTTTGATGTGAAACAATTTGATTTGCCAGTTTGCCAGTAGTAAAACGGGCAACATCTCTTTCTAACTTGCTTTGCAGCAATGCTGTGAGACAAGTTGGACAATTTTGCTGCTCGTATTACCATACCTTTATTAGAAAATTCACCATATTTGATTTTGCACGAATCAGGACGCACCTCTCAACCAGGCAGAGATCAATTGTAGCACAAAAGAAACAATTGCAAGGATTCTTGGATATGTGGGCCAAAATACATTATAATTATTTTGCTATACACAAATCAATAATTTATACATATTAAGATAATCCCAGGCTAACTATTCATAGACTTAGGATGGTATTCAAATAAATTAATTATAATTATTATATTATTTGGAAGGTATACTGGACTTCTTCATTCAAAAGCTTTTTTTTTTCTTTTCAAAATTTGTTATTTGTTATTGTCAAGTACTTTGCAATGACAAGATAACTAATATTTATACTAAGGTAGTCCAGTAGACTTCGCTCTTGTTCACTTATTGCCAAACCTGAAGAAATACAAGATATCAGTTACATGTATTAGTGGCTCTGTCAATCAAAGTGTTGTGTCATCTTCAAGTTCTCACCTTGACAGTGCTGTCCACAGCACCAGAGAATATTCTGCCTTTAGACAGAGCCAAAGCAGCAACACTACCTTGATGTCGAAGCAGTGTCTGGATACAAGTGAAGCTCTCCAAATTCCACACCTGCAAACACAAATAGTAGATAAAATATACTATAAAAGGTACTTTGTTATTCAAACATTTGAAATTCATTCAATAATGATACTACTGAGTTATAAAAAAAGATAAAATTAATGATGGTAATGAAGACAGCTGTAATAAATTCCATAATCTTTAAGCACTACATATGTTTTAGTCTGCTATAACTGCCACCTCCCAGCACGATTTGTAACTTACCCTCAGTGATCTGTCGTAAGAGGCACTAAACAGCTTGCTTTGTCCAGGTGCATTCAGCACAGCRAGTGCATAAACTGTACCAACATGTCCTAGAATGAGAAATATAAAAGAKATTCTTTAGTAAAAGAGATTCTTAGTAGTTTCTACTCTAAAACTATTTCAACTTGCAAGAGTCATGTAATAGCACATGAGGAAAACAGAAAAAGATACTGGCAACCAACAATTTATTAAATTGTATAAAGAGAAAAAATAAGGCTGCTGAGTGAATGTCATGTCAAAATAAGAATACTTACCATTAAGTGTCTCAACCAGTTTGTGTGTGTTGGCATCCCATAACTGAAAAAATGTTGGAAAATATCATAATAATAAAAAGGAAAATCAGTGCATAGAGTGCACGTCACATAAGCATGAAACAATTCTTAATATGTATTGCTAAATAAGATTTAGTTATCAACTAACTAAGAATTCAACAAAGCATAAACACAAYGCCAATTATTTAAATTCCTTTGTAGCATTGTTCTCAATTCTTAGTTAGTTGATAACTAAATCTTATTTAGCACTACATAGTTAAGAAATGTTTCATGATTATGTGACTTGGACTCTACAACATTTTTGTGGGTCTGTGCACATATCATTATTTTTATTTTCCTCCTACCTGTATACAGTTTTCATAAGTACCACATATAATGAATTCTTTTGTGACGGCAAGTGAATACACACTACCACCAGTGGTCTGTAACACACGCACACACTCTAGTGTATCCAAGTCCCATAACTGATTAAACCAAAAGCAAAAAACAATAAGAAAAATAAAAATATTACATATAAAAAACGTGAAAATTAGCGTGGATCCCAAATTGTCCACTGTTTAAATTTCAAATCAGTCTATATAATGCTATATTTTCTTTGGTACCTTGATGGTTTGGTAGGAGCCACTGTAGAGATAGTTGTCACTAGCCACCAGTGCTCGTACCCARTGATTAAGACCTGTCAATTCTTTTACAAGGCCCATWGTGCTTAGATTCCAGACCTGTAMAATGTCATGTAGTTATGAAAACAATGCTAGAAAACAATGCCATGTCAAATAGTCTTGGACTAACAGCGAGGGTAAACTTCAAATRTAAATAAGGATGATTCATAAATACAACTGTTATCAAAAAAAGGAGAGATATTACCACATATGAACACTCATATCACATACATTGTAAACACTTAACTTACCTTGATCATTTTCAAAGAGCCACTGAACAAYGTGTCTCTCTTGGCTACTAGTGTACACACAGGGTTTTCGTGGCCTTCTAGTGTYTGTAATAGTTCTAGTCTCTCAATGCTCCAAATCTGGTTCAAATACAGATTGAACCAAATGATTTTATTGGAAATGAATACCAAGGAATGAAGAAAGGAAAGGATAGAAGGGAAACAGGACAAATGGAAGGTAGGGAGGAACAAACAAAGAAGAAGAATATGAGGACTTAAGGCTTAATTAAAGATGGTTCAAGCATGGAAATGAGAAAAACAAACATTTGTGGAAAAAAAACAGAGTGGGAAAAAACAGAGTGGGAAAAGAAATGGGAAAGAAGAAATAATGAAATGAAAATGGAATGAAAATCAAATCAAGAAAATCACAGAAAATGGCGTGGAGGAAAAGGATGGAAGGAGAGAATATTTTTGCTTTTCAAACTTACATTTATCGTACAATCAGATGAGCCACTAAATAACATTTTTCTGCAAAGAAAAGGGTTGACCAAGCTTAGTGAAACTTGATGCATTCATAGGAAAAAACATAATAATTCAAGACTGTACTTACTCGTGTGTCCGTAATGCAAGTACAATTCCAGCATGACCTTCGAGTGTTTTGACACATTTATAAGTGGTTAAGGTATCCCATACCTAAAGAATCAACCATTTCAAATACTCTTATAAACAAAAAAATCAACAAAAACAAAAACATAAACACACACTTATACCTTGATGGATTTATCAGACGAGCCACTAAATAATAGATCACCATACACACACAATGCCCAAACAGGGCCCTAGAACAAACAACAGTACAAAGTTAACTATATACATGTAATATTGTTTGAAATTTTGCATGTATTAATCAGAAAATACATTATAATTATGTACAAATAGATGATAAAGATAAATTGGAGAATAGCAAAATAAAATGTAATTGCACATCCATATTTAATAATACATTATTATATATTTTATGATATCAATTTTACTTACTGTGTGACCTACAAACGTTCCTTTACATTTAAACAGAGGCTGGACATCAAAAGCTAAAGAAACAACACGTGAATATTTACTTCTTAATGCATTGCACCAGGCAACAAAYATAATTATAATACAGTGCATCAACTGGTCTGTACTGAATTAAAAATGCAAATAAAGCAACTCACTTCCAACTCCCCACAGTCTTGCCTCAATACTGGAAAGGTCGCTCTACAAGACAGTAGGAAAGAAAGTTATATAAATCCTTATTATAAATTTTATATAATAATTCACAAGTGCCACAAGCTATAATGGTTTACTAATTGGTTTGGCATGTCTTGTTGATAGTTAACATAATAATTTATTACCTCAATTGTCGCAATACTCTGTCTGGATTCAGAAAGGTCTGAAGATAGCTTTGTTTGGCTCTCATCTAACAGATCTAAAATCATGAAARTCTTGGTAAAAATATTCCAAACTGAAGACAATAGATGTCTTGATTARTTGCCGGGCCTTACCTATTCTTATATCAACAGTCTTTTCCATGCGATCAACTCTTTCTGTTAGTTTTAATATCATATTTTTCATAAACGAAATTTCCTGTTAAAAGATGATGCAGAGATAAGTGAACAGTCAACATAAAACCTGAAATAATTATCTCAGTTTATTTTCAGTCAATTTTAATAAAAGTCAATCTCAGATTTACCTGGTCCTTTTCCTTTAGAGATGATTTTAATTCTTCTAGCCTACTATCTGTATGGGCTAAAAATTCCTAGCACAATGAAATAAGAAATGTCATGATTAGTATACAATTAACAATGACTTTTTTATGTAAAGCAATTAGTATTACATGTATGTGTTACATCCATGTGTGTTGAATTCTTACTTTTACAGCTTCAAATTTACAAGTCTTTAAATGCTGGACAACCAGGTCATGATTGCTTTCATATGGACATCTATATTTACAAAAAAAAAATCAAATTAATGCAAACAAAAATTTAATAATAATTAATAAAAATGAATAAAAACTGATATCTAACTCACTGTGAGACTGCCTCACTCCCTGTCAGACTGCATGGCTAAGTGGCTATCGACGTCCTCCAGCTAAAGACTTATTGCCTTWGGCTGTGATAGAAAGACCTTCTCCTTGTTTGCGCCACACCCTTCGATTTGTYGATTCTTGTCGATAGTCAGTTCAAAATGCAACAATCAATCAGTCAATCCAAAGTAAAACKACACTAAATTTATTGGCAAATGCTTTACTTCAGATTCAACAGAGATACAACCAACAATAACCATTTGAAAACCTTTAAACAGTGGCCAACAGTTCAAGCATTTGAATGTGGGTTCATACTCTATCTATCTGTCAATCATTGGCCTATCTAACAGCCTGATTGGCTGCTTTTCTAACCACCACCTGTCATGAGTAATATTGTAACCGTCTGTAGGTGAATTATAAGATGAGTGCTATCTTACCCATATTTGTGATGTGGACACTTAATGTGTTCACAGTGTTGTAGGTGATCTTGAAGATCCTATTGACGCAAACAAATGGTAAAGTGAGCATAGCTTGAAGAACTTCTCTTTTTGCTGATAATTGACAATATGGTAAAAGCTAYATATTATACTAGAGAGATACAAATTTGACTTTGTGGCTGTCATATCGTTTCTGTCATATACATATTGCAAAATGAAAACTGCCCCTAAAACATCCCATCTATTTTGCTCCCTTYCCCTCCTTTCCATTTTCCATTCTTCTTTCCCATTTCCAATACTATTCACTTCCCTGCCTTTTTGACAGCTTTATGTTGATTTCTACATACCATTTTAAGAAGCATCGGACACAAAACACTGTTGGGGCATTGCGTTGGTGCATACTGGCAATTTTTTTCATGTTCTCTGTTAAATAATACAGTTACGTAGAATCAGTTGTAATTGGTTGTTGTAGATAATAAACATGTTATGAACTCAGTCTATTTTTTTTATTAGTCAGYACTGAGCCAATTGTCTTTTTTTACCTTCTATGATTAAGTTTAGTTGTCATTGGACATCCCGTGGGATTAACCTCAAATTCATGTTTTAATCCATTTGCTACAATACGACATCCATATTTACAGTGTATAAACAGCTCTCCTATTTGCTCCGATACCTAAGAATAATAAACAGATGTGGACCAATCTTTATTTGATTATTTTACAATTTTTTATGATAAGAACTCTTGTAGTATTTGTTAACTTACCGCCAAGTTTGCAACGACGACTGAAAGTTTATTTTCATCTATTGGACATTTTTCGATTCCCTTTGCCATGATGCAAGGTCGACAGAAGGTGTGCTGTAGAATATAAATAGTAATATTAAATCCATGGATTATTTATTGTAAATATTCCATGACGATAATAAGAATTTTTATCTTCACCACTATCATCACCATCTGATCACTTGTACTTCATTTATTCATCTTTTTATCCATCCATTTATTCACTTCTTTGTCCCTTCTCATCAATTATGTCTGTTCATCCCAGTTTCATGTAATCATCCATCAATTCACCATCAACTTACCCCACAAGAAGCTATCACTGGCTCCTTAAAAACTCGCTGACAAACAGGACAAAACAGCTTTGTTGATGGCTCTTCCACAAACAATACTACTTCCTAGAGTTAAARCATATTATTAAAATATTTATGCGCACTATGATTTTTGTCATAACAAAATGTTCCTTAATTAGGATGGAAACTAGCACTAAACTAGTGTGAGCTGTGTTGGCGTTTCTAAAGAAACAGTTGTGAAATAAGATAAATTCAAACACCGTTAAAAAGTAGGTGAAATAACTTACTGACGTTTCGGATGTTAATCCTTTGTCAAAGTAAGTAATGGTTACTCCACAACTGTTGCTTAATTAATGTAACTTAACTGAATGTTAGAGATCATAACGATTAAAAGCCTTTTCAAGTACTTACATCTTCTTCATCTTCAGCAGTTGTTGAAATAGAATGTAAAGATCTCGCTGAAATGGTTGATGACGTTCGATGATGTCTTTTAAAGGATGTAATCTCAAAATTGCACTGCAGCAGAAATCATGTCAATGTAAAAAATATATATAATAATATCAATTTATTTAAACTCAAACAAAGGTTAATACAAGTCATGTTTTCTATATCATGATTTAAGTTAGGTTAGAGCAAAGTATGTATTGTAAAGATCCATTTGCATGATGTAATATACAGGAGTATAATAGTGTTTACAATAGACCAATATTTAAATTTTGTGCGTGATTGTACCTTTTCAGAGCCCGCTGTACCACTGTCAACATCTCTATCTGAATTGCTAACAGACACACATGTCAAGCTATTGGAAGTCCTTTCAATTACTGTTGTATCATAGAGGTAATGGTCTGCTTCTACTGAAATACAAGACAAAATACACTCAGACATGATTAATTTGTGGCTAAAARTKTTATTGAGATGAAAGCCTCAAAGGCCAGATACTTTTGTATTTGTAGGTAATATAGCTATAATATTACAGTTTGCTTGATGCTGTTCTACAATCCTGTAGCTGTTGTTGATGATATTATTAGATTTTTTTGGTGAAGTGGTTAGTGTTGGAAGTGTTGTGTAAAGAAGTTAGCCTTCTTGTCAAGAGCTTGTTGTGGTTACTATATTGTACATTCTGACATTTTGTGGCTGTTACGATTGTGGTTTTGGTTGTTGTTAGTGTTGATGTTGTTGCTTCTGACATATTGGTTGATGATATTAGTGTTGTGTAGTGTGTGGTGTTTATTATACTTATCTCAATCAATAGTGATTGTTGTATATTTTGTTTGTATTAATACAATCAATACAACTACAACAATACAACAACATACTAATATATAATTATATATTAGTATAAAATGTTGTTGTATTGTTGTAGTTGTATTGATGGTCAGGTGTTTCAATGATCTGTAATGCTTATTGAAAAGCTTCTTTGTCTAATTGTCATTTTGATAGATAATTTTCTTTAAATCCTCTATATTGTACAACAGGACAAARAGACAACTGCCTTTCAGCTCAATGGCTTGGACAGTTTTATATGTACATGCACCATTTATTACACTTCAGGAAGCATTTTTAGGCAATAGTTCACATGTTTTCACATTTTAAAAACATATCAACTCATTACTTCAGGTATAATTCCATGCCAAGAAGAAAGCTATTAACTGAAAAAGCACTTACAAACATTTCATAATTCATGACAAAAAGAAAAAAACAGAGGAGAAATACATGTGCATGCATAATGTAATATATTTGCTTGAAAAAGATGCATTGGTTACAAAAAAAACCTTTGAAATTAGACAAGAGAAGATGGTAATACTTTGTATTTAACTATACTTCATTGCTTGTTTAGTTTTACTCAATTAAAACAGCACTACTCATTTGTTATTTGCTCACACAACAAATTAGCACTTCACACATTATATGAAGCTCTTTTACGGATGAGCATTGTTCACAAGTAAATATAGCTTTGCAATATTACAAAGTGCTGTTATTGGTATCAATTACCACTATTTACAGTGTTATTCTGACTCTTAAWATTGAACTGTTTACCTCTCTTGATTGTCGTCACAGGTGCAAAAGCCGAGGGACCAAAAGTTGTTTCCATGCGAGCCTACACATAATCCAAAAGTATAAACAAATTAAGAAARCAWATGTCATTGGTTGRGATTGATTAAAAAAAACTGCAGGTTTATAAAATAGAATTAATAATTAATTTGTGTGTTTTGGGAAATATTTGGGCTATAAACCATAAATCAAATTTGTATCTTTATTGATTACAACAGATTTAAAATAGTGACAATTTTAAGGTCTGTAGTAACAAGAAATTACAGTTTGTGAATACGATTCAAATTATAACAACATTCTGAAGTTAGATAAAAAGTAATATTACTATATAAAGCTTTCATTTATTTTAAAGYTAAACTTTAATAAAAAAGTTGTCACAATATACAGATTTTTAAATTTCTCTGTGTTCTAGGATATTATATTGAATATCTACATCATAATATATTAATTAAACTAGATTACAACAGGGGACAAAATATACATGTATGAGACCCCCTAGCCCCTATAATATTGCAAAATTATAGATAATATAAGCCCTGCTCAGCTCTCCTTTTCAATGGTGTGGAAGCATGTCTTGTATATGCATGCCATCAAAGGTCACCATTGACTAGGGATCTGGGTTAATATGCATTTTGTTGCAATAATTGTAAAAAAATGCACACAACATTGTTTTTCATGTTTTCTTTGATTTTTTCTGCCATTGTAGATTAATAGTAACAGACACAATAGTTGATCACAATCTCACAGCAGATAGAACAAATTTAAAAGCAATCCTTATTTCATCCTGGAAGCTATCAATCCTGTAATTATCATTTTGCATGATAAAGTTTTTATAGTTCTGATGTACCCTAAGGTCATCCTCTATATTTATTTGATCTTATAAGACTGCTGCTTGCATTATTGACTGTTCTCAAAATTTCAGTGCAACCAGACATAGCCTGCAATCTGTTGAGTGTAAATCGATTCTTCAAGTCATTCCAAATATTTGATCATTTAGTCAAATAAATTACCAGGCATATAATTATGAAATAAAAATATACTTGATCAATGTAGTACTAAACTTATATGTTTGGAAACTCTGCTTGGTGGGGGAGGGAGGGAGAGTGTTGTTCTGGGGAGAGTGTTGTTCTAGTGTGGGGGGGAGGGGGAGAGTGTTGGTGTATTGTATATGAAATTGAGTGGCCACTAGGTGTATCATAATCGTCCATTCTACAGTCTATAAACTATTGGTGGGTTTTGGTTTAAATCTATGGATTTTAATCCTGTGTAACCTTATTGTCATCATGATAATCTATTATTACTGGTTCATTATTACTACATCACAATTTTTTTTAGTAGACTTTTTCTTATTTTCTTGGCTATAATCTATTAAGGGATAAATGATCAAGGAGAATCTACTCAACAAGACACATGTACAGTATTGTTTGATCTGTTTTGTGAAAACTACAGATAATGGTTGATTGGTACATTTTGTAGTAAACATTAATAATAACACCCCAATACTTATCAGYTGTTTTAGAATTAGATTGAATCTCTCTGAATTTTAACTGAAATTCAACTTGATATTAAGGATACCACTATAAATATGTGCTATTTTTAATATGTTCAGCTCTTGACTGACATTATATAGTCACTGGCATTATATACCAAAATATGATATAAAAAATAGAGAATATAAGTTAGTAGAATGTTTATATTTAAGAGGGACATTACAAACAGATGAAATTAATTAAAAATTGAAAACTATAATTTGTAAACATCCACTCTCAGTAGCAGGTTATCTATAAATACTAGTTTATGAAAAAGATAAAATTGTTAGTGAAGATTTTATAGAAGTTTTTAATCTAATTTTCAGTTACATGTACATGTACCAATAGCAATTCAATATTACATATTAAATTAAAATCGTACATTATACATTGTTAATGTTTGCTTTGCTAATGAGACTTGTTTACCAATCAATAAAATGGTATTTGAAACAGAAATACAGTAGCTGTTTGAAATATTTAAAAGAAAGGAAAATTTTATGACAAAAACAACCACAAAAGATAACAATTTCAGTTTCAACCAGTGGATCCATGAGAAAAGTCTCAAACCAAATTAAAAAAAGATATTGTAGCACACTGACTCCCTTGGAAATTMCATTCATGTAACTTGCAAACCCTAGAGATTCTTGGTCTTASATTTAATTTTTGATTGACCTCAATCATACGGAAATGCAAGTGAATTTAACTAAAGCTACAATCAAAGATTTTTGATCCAGTAGTTTAAGCATACACATTTTTGGACTATATTCTAAATAAATGCACAGAATTGTAGAAATTGAAATTGTGACATGATAATGGAAATTTTTTAGGGAATTTTTATATCAAATTGGATTGGGGATATTAAAGCCATTTCATATACAAAGTGTGATGTGAATTAATAATTTAAGAGAGGGTTTTAAAGGGGAAAAACTGGAAGAGAGATTTGCCTGCTAATAAGCTGTCAATGGGGATTTAAGATATAGGACTTCTTCCTAGCTCTTTAGAGCTTGGAGTCCAGAACTTCCCTCTYTGTCATTTAACAATACATCAAAAGATGCTTCCATAACTCTTTCCTTTAACATGCGTGAACATATTTTGACATCGATAGCAATCTTTTGTCTTATAGCAAAAAATAGAATAATAAAAGATAGTTATTCTTTCTATCATTTATTCGCTTTTCTATGGTTAAAGATTTCTTATCAAAATAACCCCATGTACAATAAAAAGAGTACATTATTCATGCTCACAAAAGTCAGAAGTGGGAGATCTAAACCACAGAAAAAAACCCAAGTTGTATTGAATATTTGAATTAACTGTATGCAAGCTTATATTACGTCTCGAAACGCTTTTATCTCTATTAAATATTCTTTTTAATTTCAAAGATCAAAATCTTCACGTGTGGGTTTCACGAATCAGGGAACACGATCACAATCGCTATTCGCGTAGTTTTCCGAATGCTAATGCGATTTAAATATAAAATACTTACACTACATGCCGGTGCATGTTAATTTATATCAAGAAATACAGTAAAGGATAACAAAAAAGTTACTAAATTCATACCTTTGAGTTCAGAGACTCGAAGGATCTCGAACGAGACATCTCCATCTGCCCACCTATTACCCCTGACATTTTACAATTTACAAACTGGGTTCGCACCAAAAATGAACTACATAGTGAACTTGAAGCTCTGGTCTCTTGGATGGCTGTGTGTAATGCTTCTGGAGAGAGATATTTGCAATGAAATGCTGGTTAAAATCTTATTTACAGATTGTAATCTACAGCTTGACGTCTGGCGAAGTGTGTGTTTTCTGTATGACTCGGTACCAGGTCTTACGCATGATACAGACACGTGACCACAGGGAGCCCAAGCAATGACACTTTACTTATTTAGCCTCACTTGACTATGCATTATAAATGGGCCGTAAAACCCCCTCCCTCCATGTATATAAAGAGTGACAAGGTAGGAGAATCTGCTCGAAATCTCCTAAAAAAGAGACAAAAACGATCGGCAAAAATTTTTATTTGCGACAACATATGTGAATCAATGTTTTTATTTTAAAATATATATCACGTTCTCCAGATAAATTCTGTTTCACAAAAATTTAGCCTGAGCTATCTGTCTCAAGCACCGTCGAAGAAGCGGTGAGCAAATATGACGTCATCATTTGCCATCTAAACTAATAACTCTTGGTATCCATAGAAACCACACATATAAAAAGGGAAAAATACAGAGATCATATGAAAGAAAGAATAAAAAATGGACTGGAAAAGGTTCTAGAAGGTTATAAAGAAAGAGAGATTCAGAATATGATCAGAATTTTCTTCGAGACGCGATGAAATATTGCCTTATAAAGTCAAGAGAAAATGTGATTTTCTCTTTATAAACTTTCGATCACTGATCAAATATATACGCATTACTTTCAGGCGCTGAAAGTGAAGGGCCTCTAGATTATTGATATTCAACTTATTTACAGAGAGTTGAGTTCTTGACAAAACTAGAAAATTTTCATGTTGCCAGAACTGTTTGGATCTCACTGAATTCTCGCCTTTTCCTTTTAGAGCAGTATTCCGTTTTAAGTTCTTTGGTCGAAGATGCATCAAATCGTGTCTTGCCTGCTGGTTTTCAGCATCTTTATTGTAACAAGCAAGGTTTCCGTAGCCGCACCGCAAAAAATGCGTCAAAAAATTCACAGTAAGTGTAAATTTGCCAAATCCGATTCGAARWGAAAGTTTGGGCCAACAACCATGCATATTTCCATYATATTTCCACTTTGAAACTGGCTCAAGTGAAAATTAAGAGAATAGAGMTCAAATAGCTTTTTAATACGTCCTTTTACAATTATTTGCATAGTTCTTTTTCCTCTTCTTTCAGCTTTTCATCCTTCTATCTCACCTCGATAGTGTTGTCTTTTATTCACAGTTTTCCTTATCATTATTATTTTTTACCTTTTACTTATTTTTTTCTATATTTTTCCTCTTTCTTGTGTTCTTTATTTTTATGTATTCTCTATGTCTAGGTCCCGCCGCAATGGCGMCATGTCCTTCTGGTTGGACTACATTCCCRGGTAGTTCTTCCTGTTACAAATGGCACCATACGACACTCAACTGGTACTCCGCCCGCAAAGCATGCATAGCATTAGGAGGAGACCTGGTGACTATTCTTTCGAAAAAAGAAAATGATTTCGTATCATTTCTGGCGATGACGTATAGCCAAACGGCCATATACATTGGACTCATTAGAGGTATGCTAGGCGCTGTTTTTTTTTCTCGTCAAAATATCGCATAAAAGAATAACGACTGGGGCTATCTCGTTCTATAGGTACTTAGACTTTAAAGTTTTGCGCTGTGAAGCAATACGAAATTAGGCAAGGTTTTAGCAAGCTGAAAACAACTGATCAAGACTTTGTCAATTTGCAAAATGTGGTACGAATATTGTTTCAGTTGRACAGTTTACCATGGACTTATTAGTCATCCTGTGACGAAATCTCGCCTTATCCTTCCTCATACAGTTWACTATGGTACTATTTTTTCTATTTTCCGTTCAGATCGTCAGAATAATTTCAAGTGGGTAGATGGCACACCACTATCTGGTCAGTATTCAAACTGGAATAAAGGCGAACCTAATAATATTCTTGAGCGTTGCGGATTCATGTTTTCAAGCAAAACTCACCTTGGGTTGTGGAATGACGGCCAATGCTCGAAAGCCCATACCCTTGGATACGTGTGTGAAAAGGAGAAGTGTTAGCCGCTATCTCGGAGTCAATATATTATCAAAATATATATARAACAAATGTAGATAAAGTATTAACTCTAACAGTATCATTCTATGAAAAAGGCAATAAAATAATAAATAAAAGGGATATATCTTGATTAATTNTGAAAATAAAAAACTAAAAAGATGGGACGATTCCCCCGAGACATTCTGTGAAGCTGAGGCGTCGAATCGGCTTACGTTACGGTTAGAGATTTCGGCTCTTCCACGCTATCCCGAGTGAACATAAAACTTAGTCTTAACCAAAAGGCCAGGGAGTGAGGGGGTAGCCGCCCACTAGAGCATATCTTTAGCTACCCCCCTCTTAGACCATCGTACTATGAAGACACTTATAGATATCTAATATCTAATTGGGGTAGTCTATTCGGTGAAGTTCTATGCTAATATATGACGTCACCAAAATCCTTAGGGATCATCGAGCCAATCAGAGCTCCGCTCGGGAATTAGCAAACTATACAGGCTTTGCATAAGCATTCTTCAGTAGTGGATTTATTATTTGATGGGGGGAGGGGTGGGGATGGGTGCCGAGTGCTGGTTTGCGGCCGAATACCGATGTTCGATGTAATGTGGCGCTTTCCCATGTGTTCTATGTGTTCAATTGTGTCGTTATTGTTTTTCAAGGGAACAGACAGACATTAGTAGTATTCGAATAAACGCCAAGGCATCTATTGAAATTCTTTACGTAATAGTTATAAGTGGTTTACAAACGTACCAGGCTGATATTTACTTGAAGTCAATGGAACACAATTAAAGACCTCTAGAACGTACCATGCACATTTTCTTGATGATGTGAAAGTTAACTTACACATTATTGAATAGAACTGATGTTAAAAATTGAAGAAGATGAATGATAATCCGTATAAAATTGATAAAGAAATCAAGAAAAACTCTTTAGCAAGCTTTCGGTTTTATTGCAAAACTATAATCAGGCGAATGAYAGTAATTTTTAAACATGGGTGTAAAAATAAAGTTTATATAATCAAAACATTTTATCGAACACGTTCCATGAGAATTTGTCATGAATTAATAAGTCAACAGATACAGAAAGATTTCTTTGATTACAGCTAAATTGAAGCTCTAARGACCGCTCCACGTCGTGGATAAAAATCCCTTTTCCGAATCTTTCAGATGGACTCATGTTTACTGTAGGCAGGGAAACAGACGRGAGTCCCGCGCGGACTATAGGAATGATCAGCTATCACAAGTTTTTAGTTTCCTTGGCCCCTCGATCGGCTACGATGAAAGTTGAACATCGAATTTGAGTTTTTTTGTACATATATCTCTTTATGGAGATTCAAATGAGTATTTGTGAGGATTATTTATCGATATATTAATTGTCGCACTTGTAGCCACAACGTGCGCTGRTGATTTTGAGAAAATCGCGTCGCCTGCGCAAGCGAAAAATCGCTCGTGTAACCGTGGCTTAAAAGTCTCAAATATTTAGAATTAATTTGGTGCTTAATTTGAGCGGATTAACAAAAGCATACTAACACACCCCTTTCCACAGTGTAATGAAGTCCCTTCATGCACAATATAGCTCAAAAAATACGATTTTGAGTTTTGACCCGCTTTTTCCAGTCAGCACAAATATAGCTCATGAAAGTGAACTAAACTGGCAATAAACGTATCAAAACCATGAAACTGTTAGAATATTTATATCAACAGCTGCATAGTTATATAATTTTTTTCGCGTCTTGCACTTACGTTGTTTCCCTCCAAAAACCMTGATTGTGGTTCCTATTAATGTCTATTAAATCATCACTCAAAATCACTGCTAATGCATTTTGAATGAACCACCTCTAATTTTATTATTTCCTATCAAATGTTTCGTTTTGTAACTTGTAATACGTCGGAAAAATTGAACGTCGTTTTTGATATCGTATCCGTCTCAACCTTATGATATTCGCAAAAATTATCTTGAACAAAAACCTGTTTCCCTCCACTTTAGGGAAAGAGATGGGGCGCGGGGAGTTGAGGGAGTGGGTAAGACCTTGGGTTATGGTTACATGTCTAATACACAATAAAAACAAAGAAAACTTTCCTTTTATGGGCTTCATAACCTTAATTATATGCATGTCGCCAAGGCGACTTCTATAAAATTATCTATGAAGTACTTCGGCGTAAGGGTGCTCGGCACTTCAATTGGCGTAACAAAGCCAAAAGCTGCCCTTCAATTGAAAATATTATGATGCGACGGTCCTTTTCATGGATTTCTTTTAACGTATTGTTTTATGATTCAAAAAATAATAATAAAAAAATAAGTAAAATGATTTTTATTTTCGTGGATTGTTTGATATTAGTTGTTCATATCGAGTTCTTTAAATGTTTGTTATGATGATTACAAAAACGGAAGCACCTCTTAGTGATATATGACTTAAACCTAGAGATCGCTCATGTAYAGCCCTTTAAGGGGATGGCATTTGAGCACCCCTTGGCATTGGTACACGAAAGAGGAACTGCAGTGATCATTCAGTTGGTCAAGACACCGCGTGCTGTATTCTCCTCTTCTCTAACATTAGTTACAAAAGCACTTCATCGAATTTGTAAAAACTATATTACCTTGTGTTATATCCGTTTTGCTCTGCTGTAATTGCGTGTAATCATCTCCTATTCACTAGAGGGRCACTAAAAAGCGCCATAAGTGTTATAACGATTGCTGAGTGTTTTAAGGACTTTTGGCACTTGATATCCATAAGCAAGCATAAAAGCTGTTCACTTCYGAGTGCGTCTTTATAGTAATACAACGATCGTTTWTTGTATATAAGCAACCTAAACTGAAGCGACTGTCATTTTCTCGAAAGCTGTAAATACAGACCGTACAAGATGATAGGTGGCAACAYTTCAAATTTTAGCTCGGACAGCCACGCTTTCCTCGAGTTTCCTCCACCTATTCGGCCTTTTCGACACAAAGTACCATTAACAGTGGCATACAGTATTCTTTTCGCTGTTTCTTTTATTGGAAACACACTTATCATATGGATTGTCCACAAGGACCGTAGATTGAGGAACACGACCAACTTCTTGGTGACAAACATGGCTGTAAGTGATCTTATTTCAACTCTTTTCGGAACTCCTCTTCAAATTGTTTACATAAACTTCAACAGCAGATGGCTCATAGGTGGTGAAATTGGTAATGCTTTGTGTAAAATGACGCCATTTGCCGGAGAAGTCTCGTCGACTGTTTCATTTTACAGTTGTGTCTTTATCGCAGTCGATCGGTATCACGCTGTAGCCAATCCACTGAAAAGACCCTTGCAGCTAAGGATAAAGTACATCATAGTAGCGATTTGGACCCTCTCGGGTTTGCTCAACTCGCCCTACTTGTATTTCTTTAGTATTTTTAAGCAAAACGGACTGTACTACTGCCGCCATCTTTCAAAAGTGTTCTCCATATTTGTGAAGTTCCGAAATGCTTCTCTTTCACTAAGTGCAGCTTTTCCAGCTCTGGCTGTAACAATAACTTACGCACTAATTGTCTACAAACTTTACACTCGCGAAGTCCCTGGAGAGAGCATTGAAAGGACAGCGAAACGGAGACAAAGACAAAACAAGAATGTTTTAAAAATGTCCGTAGCTATAGTAGTACTGTTGTATCTTAGCTATGGGCTACATTTCATTGTTTCTATTTTGTTCAGCCATGGACTGTTGAATAATCTTTCGTTTTCCTCCCGAGAGGATCTAATGGTGGCAACATTTTTTATGTTACACGCAAGCCTTGCGTACAACTTTTTTATTTATCTTAAATTCAACAACATTTACCGCGAAAATGTTAAAAAATTGTTAGCAAWATGCTGTCTTCATGTACGATTAACAAGCTCAAAGAAAGCTGAAATCCGGAACAAAAGCAACATAGKGAASAGCGGAGAAAGTACCATCGAGACGGGATCTTCAGAAGTAGTGAAACTCCAAGCAATCCGAGTTTTCCTCATATCTGATAATATGGGTTATAACTCTACTAACTGATTAATCTGAGCAAAAAAGATATCTTCGTTTAAAAATTAAATGTATAATATTATAACATTACTGAATGTTTAAAAGTTGGTGTGAACACTACATTGTAAAAATTACTTTCCAATGTCGAGAGAGAGAGAGAGAGAGAAAAAGCAAAAACAGCATAAACTAAAGTTTTTGTGGGGAAAGTTATATGCCATAATTATTTTTGCAAACTATACCGACATGTTTATCAGTTCACGATATAACATCCCCACTGAAAATGCGCTAACTTTCCTCATCTACATGCAACAGCAGTACTCCAAACGCAAATGTTCAGATATATTCCTTTAGCAGGTGTAACTTTGTAMACGATGTAATGGTTTAGTATACTTGATTATAGGCAGAGTCATTTAGTCATTGAAGCTGAATGTTTCAGATACCAGATAGAGTATGGCCTAGAACCATCTCAAGGAACTGAAAAATAAACAAATAAGTAAATAAATAAATAAATAAACAACGACCAATACATCATATTATCAAATTCATTAATAATTCATAAGGTAAACACAATGGAAAATCATTGCCGTGACCGCATCTTTATATGAGCAAGATATTTGTTCTGATTTGCATAAGACTTTAACTTCGATCTTCTCTTACAAATGATATTTTATCCTGAAGTTTTTTTCGAAATATGCTTTACCTTATGTTGGAATTTGATAAGCAATATAAAATATTTGCTTCCAGCTCGCAGTTTTAAATGCCCATAAAGGTCTCCCGCTCATATTTTATATATTACTTAAAGCAATTTTAGTGATTTTACATACCCTACCCCAGACTAAAGGTACAAAGGTACATTATTTTAGCGCTGAAATTGTGGCCTAGCAGATACGATCACAAGCAAAACTCCACCCTACTCCAGACAATGAGACTATACCCTATCCTAGACAAAAAACTACCCTATCCCCGACAAAAAGACTACCCTATCCCAGACAAAACTACTACCCTATCCCAGACAAAACWACTASCCTATCCCAGACAAAACTACTACCCTATCCCAGACAAAACTACTACCCTATCCCAGACAAATGGGCAAATAATGATACCCTATCCCAGACTTGGAGCTCCGAAAAAGGACCCTATTGAGTCCAACTGAGTCACTGATGATGCTGATAACCATTACCTGTTCATAGCTTATAGTGATTGATCCTGATTGGTTRTGRTCATGTTGTCTGAAGGCATCTGTGAGTGACTTCAGAGTAACGCAACACTGGATAAAATCATCAAACTTCATTGTTCTCTTGTCACGGCGATCAAATTTCTGCACACATAAATTACAAAACTGGGGACTCCTAAAAAAAACAACAAATTCAAGATACAAGATAAATTTGGTGATAATTACAATAAAGTACATAATTTCAATGGCATTACTTACAATCTATAACCAAATGTCAAAAATGCTTGATTCAGTTCTCCTGCATCTATAGTTCCTGATCGGTCTCTGTCAAAGCTGCATACAAAATAAACCTCTGGTGAAAATACTTAAAACAAATGAGCTTACAATGCACTCTCTCTACAGACAATACACTTTTTGGGATCCCTGTAGCATCCTCTTCCTCAGGCAGGAAACTTGACCCAGTTTTCTTCAGTCATATGAGGAAGACAGGAAGCCCACAAGTAGAAAATATTGTAGCACAGACAGTGTTCCTAATATGAACACATGAAGTCACAAAGCTTAAATATTTTCAGGCTGTGCCATCTTA